AAATGAATCTTAATTTTTAACATTCTAGAACAATGTGAATAAATGTGCCCTTGTAAATTTGCATAATTATAAGTACATTGCAAGTGTCATGAAAGAATTTCTAATTTAAGTACAATGCCATCTATGTTTGGTACTGCATTTCTGAGTGGGATGCTTTTGCACATTTCTCATCATGAATTTCAGAGCCTTGGTTTGGGATCTTGTGCTCACATATTTTTCTAGTCATGTTATGCCAACATTGAAAGTTTTAACTCATCAGGAAAACATGTACTGTTGGAGGGGCATAGAGGCATGGATGGGCATGAATATACCACGACCCAATGACTAACTTTTTCTTCTTTAAAGAAGTCCTTGTTGAACACTGAAAAATGTTATCAATGGAGTGAGACCAAAAAAGAGCAGCTCTCCCTTTTATTCTTTCTCTTCATACTCCATTTCCTCTGCATTCAGAAGGAAAAGGGAAAACAGAATTCCATTGAAAAAACATAATCTCATTCTGAAACACTTTGTGTGGGCTAAATTTGTGAAAACTATTACCAATAGCTGGGAATGCTTAATAGTGGGCTATCACCAGTCTGTTGAATTAACTCATTACGAGGTTTAAAGTTCTATTAACTTTCCGTAGAAAAAGGAAGCTTAAAGAAATCATTGGTTGGTGCATAATCCAAAAGAGGAAAGGCTGTATGGCCAATGCTCACCATTTGTGACTACCTACTGACAAACTGTGTACCTAACAGAAAGCTGAGTGTCAATGGTCTCCAGGTGAAAACAGTCACAGGTACGTCCAGACCCTGTAAGTTCTTGGCCCTTAAATGCACATACGAATCACCTGCGGGAAGGTTTAAAACCATCTAATACAGAGCCTCTTGTTGGCCAATAAATCAGCTTCTGTGGGTTGGTCCTTGACCATAAGTATCTTTTAAAATCTCCGGAGGCCTCAGAAATACAGTCAGATTTAAGAATCACTGGTCCCGACAAAGGATCCTTTATTTTAGTTGAATTTTTCTTTACCTTCATCATCTCTTTTCCAATCGTTCCATTTTCTCTAGTCACATTATTTTCTTCAAAGCCAAACTTTACAGAAATTTTAAACAAGAAAACAAAGGAGCGAACAATTCAGTTTACTGAGTTCTATTGCTTGCAATTCTTGATTTCACCCTTCGTATTCAGACCCGCTGTCACTAGCTTTGCCCAGGCCTTAGTCACTTCACCCTGGATTACTGTAACCATCATTTTGTCTCCTTCTTTCTGTTATGAATCAATACTTCATATTCCTATTTGACTATATTCAAGTACACCTTTAACTCTACTGTTGTACTAATCAAGAACCAGCATTGATTCTAATCTGTCTACTGCAACAGCTTCCATGCTTTCAAAACCTGGTTTTACCTACTTTAACCCTTCAGTATTGCTCTAGTATCAGATTCCGAGCTCCAGCATCCTGCTTATTCTCATCGTGGAGGATTTTCTTTTGTGTTTTCATTTCCTTGTTACCTGGACAGGTCTATCATCCCCATTTGCTTTTTTCCCCTTAAGCCTGATGGCAAATCCCGTATTGTCCATTAAGCTGCTTCACTGCAGCCCACATGGATTGTCCCCTTTTCTGAACTGCTATTTCTATATACTACATTATGAGGATTAGAGTTCCATTATTTTCTAACAATTTTTCTAAGTATTATATCCTTCAACAATTATTTAATATTTTTGACAGCAGAAACTAAGTTGTGTATTTTTTGTCATGTCCTCTATAGCATCTCTGGACTCCAAAACTCACAGTGAATGCTCTGTAAATACTTAATGGTAATAAACATAATCCTGCCCTGCTGTCACTCATCTCCCTTATTCATGTAACTTTTCAGGGGTGGAGGCATGACATTGTAATTAGGGATCCTTCTGTGTTTGTATCATTCTCTGCTTCTGTGACTGCTTTTACCACACTACATTTTAATGGTCTATTTGCCCACTTGCTGTAATCACTGTATCGTATCCTTCTTGTGGGCAGCAGCCAAGTCTTATTTGTTCTTTAGCACTTTGAAGAGTTGCTCTTCTCCTTAGTGCCCTAGGCTGGTTCATGTACTCCTTGTAACTCCTTTATCATCTTGTACATCTTCTATCACAACACTTTATCATAAATACCAGCTTAGTATCTGTATAAACCAATCCAGTGTAACCCAATGGTTCTCAACCAAGAGTAATTTGGACTCCTGGAGGACATTTGGCAATGTCTGGAGACATTCTTGGTTGTCATAAGTGAGGAGCTATTGGCATGTAGTAGGTAGAGACCAGGGATGCTGCTAAACATCCTTTAATGCACAGGACAGAGCCTTCCCCACCAACAAAGAATTTTCTGGCCCCAAATGTCAGCAGTGACAAGGTTCAGAAGCCCTGACGTAACCCTGGCGTTACAAGCACTATGTTCACGGATGTATTGCTCAGCACGATTACTGCCAGTAACAGTTATGCAAGAACACTTGTATAATTGAAAGATGAAGCCTAAGCAAGTCAATTGGTCCTGAAAAATAACACACCATGCCTATTTCATCCCTCCATTCCTCCATCCATCTATCCGTTCATTGATTCAGAGGTATTTATGATCATCCCCTATGTGTCAGGCATGGCACCATGTAATAGGTACACACGGGAGACAAGGGGCACTCAAGGTTCTTGTATATAGTAATAAATGCAGATAAACACAAAGGCAATTTTGCAATATTGTACGTACCCTGATAATAGAGGTACTGTGTTGTATGAAGGCCAGAGCCAAAGAAGGTCATCTAATCCAAATTTAAGGGTCAATAAAAGCTATTTTCTAGCCAAGATTTGCAGAATGAGTAAGAGTTAACAGGAAGGAAAGGTAGAGGAAAAAAAGAAAACAAAAAACACAAAAATGGCCAGAGGCTAAACACAATATTCCATACTTCCAGAATTATGAGCAATTAGGAATGGCTGAAGCACAGAGTGCAACAAGGTCCCCAAAAGTGATGAGTCTAGAATAATAAATATGAGTCACGTTAAGAAGTTTGAAGGCTTTGACATTTTTGAAGAGTACTGATAGGTATTTTATAAAATGCTCCTAAATACCTAAATTGGTATTTATCTGATATTTTTCTTGTAATTAGATTGAGGTTGTAGGGTGGAAGGAAGGAAGGAAGGAAGGGAGGGAGGGAGGGAGAGAGGGAGGGAAGGAGGGAGGGAAAAAGGAAGGGAGGGAGGGAGGGAGAGAGGGAAACCAGAGAGGTAAAATGCCATTTTTCATCATATCATAGCAAAGGTACATACTATCAATGTGACTTACCTTGGTCACCTTATGAGACAGTGCTTGCCAAGTTTCTCTACTGCAAAGCTATTCTTTGTTTCCCTTTCTGCATACTGTACACTTTGGAAAGAACTCACTGTACATGACCCACACTTAAGAAGTGACAGTTCTACTCGGTTTCTTTGAGGGCAGAGTATATACATAAATTATTTGGAATTCTTCTGCACTGGAGATTTCTATTCTTTCTCATCTTAAAAATCTATTCAATCATGTATTTATATCAGTAGGGATTCATGAATATTTATTTAATACAGTGGCTTATAATCTAATACCACTTTATTTATTTTCTTGCTCAAATTGTTTCAGCTTTGGCCACTGGTAGTTCTTTCAACTGGCTTCTGAGTCTCTTTGGCATAACTCCATTGTTGTGGGCTGGGTTTTTTTTTTTTTTTTTCTTTTTTCTTTTTTTAAGCCCTCATTTTCTGACACTACAAGTTGCTACAGGCTCATCTCTGTATTTCCTGCCCTCTTGCTAGAATAAGCCATTTCTCCAAAGATCCTGGTTTCCTTTACTAAAGGATGGTATTAGAAACCAAGATCTAGGCACTAGGTGTGCTAATTGCTACTGGGGTATCATTGCTTCTAGGCCCTCTCAGGTGACAGAGCAAAGAAATACATGTGTGTATTGTATTTATTTCTGTATATACACATATCTGTAAGTATTTTATATGTAACTATCTTTATATTAAGTTAAACGTGAGTTTGTGCTAATGTCTCCAATTCTAATCCATTACCACGTGGATAATTTTACCCTGTTTCACTTGTTTATCTGAAATCTCCCATTCTAAAAGTAATAAACCGGGCTCACACCATCTACCATCCATTTACTTAATTTTTCAAATCTAGTATACATGTGTAAGAGTATCAGAATTGTTAATCCATATCCCCATGAGGATCAACCTTATCAACTAGACTGTAATTCTTACGTACTGTTTCTTTTGCCTTTAAGTCTTGCAGATTCCACTCATTACCAAAGTTACTTACTACTTTTTATCCTTACCCCATTCAGTGAGGTTGTTTCATATAGTTTCAATATGGCTAGATTGTTTGGTTATGTTCTATATTCCATTCTAGGATCCCCTAATCTCCCAATGATTTTTTTAAACTTGCATAAAGATTCACTCTGTGCAGGGGCGCCTGGGTGGCTCAGTCGTTGGGCGTCTGCCTTCGGCTCAGGTCATGATGCCAGGGTCCTGGGATCAATCCTGCATCAGGCTCCCTGCTCAGCAGGAAGCCCGCTTCTCCCTCTCCCACTCCCCCTGCTTGTGTTCCCTCTCTCGCTGTGTCTCTGTCAAATAAATAAATAAAATCTTAAAAAAAAAAAGATTCACTCTGTGCTATAAAGTTATATGGCTTTTGAAAAATGGACAGTATCACGAGTACACTGTGACAGTGTCATACACAATAGTTTTACTGCCCTAAAAATCTTCTGTGCTACATCTATTCATTTGCCTTCTTCTTGCCATCTGATCTCCTGGCCACCACTGATCTCTTTACTGTCTCTACGCTTTGTCTTTTCCAGAACATCACATACCTGGCCATCAAGTTCGTCTATAATCTGGCTTCTTTACTTAGCAATATTCATTTAAGATTTATCCATATCTTTCTGTGGCTCGATAGCTCATTTCTTTTTATTGCTGAACAACGTTCCAGTGTATGAATGTACCACAATTTATCCACTCACCTATTGAAGTACATCTTGCTTGCTTCCTGTTTTTGGCAATTAGGAATAAAGTTGCTATAAACATTCATGTGGAGATTGCTGTGGAGACATAAAGTTTAATATCAGTTTGGTAAATACCTAGAAGCACAATTGCTGAATAGTATGATAAAATTATGTCTGGGTTTGCAAGAAACACCCAAACTGTCTCTGAAAGGGTCTATACTATTTTGCATTCCAACCAGCAACGGATGAGTTTCTGTTGCTTTGCATCCTAACACATGTAAATGTGTTTTGCAAATATCTACCCCCAATCAATGTTTTTTTCCTTAACAATGGTTTTTACATATAGAACTTCTTAATTTGAATAGAAGTCCAATTTATCAAATTTTTTTCTTTTTGGATCATATTTTTTTTTAAAGATTTTATTTATTTATTTGAGAGAGAGAATGAGAGAGAGAGAGAGAGAGAGAGTATGAGAAGTGGGAGGGTCAGAGGGAGAAGCAGACTCCCGGCCGAGCAGGGAGCCTGATGCGGGACTCGATCCCGGGACTCCAGGATCATGACCTGAGCCGAAGGCAGTGGCTTAACCAACTGAGCCACCCAGGCGCCCTTGGATCATATTTTTGAGGTTTTGGTATTAATTTATATTTTTTATATCAGTTTACTAAAAACATGTTCTAAATTTTATTACTTATTGAGATTTTCCTTGTGGCCTAAGAATCCATTCTAGAAACATTCGATTTGTTTATGAAAAGAGTTAGCACATTCTCCTGGTTTTCCTCTTACCTGTCTGACCTTTCTTAATCCTCTTCTACCACGCTGGGGCTCAATCCTAGGCATACTTATCTTTGCATTTTACTTTTCACCTTTATCCATTCTGATAAGCCCTCAAAGCCTTTCATATGTTTGCTTTCAAATTTATTTCTCTAGTGAAGATATTTTGTCATTTTCAGTCTTGTATATCCAGCTGTTTACTTACATTATCACACGCATAACCTACAAACATCTCTAATTATCCACATTCAATACTGAATTTTTGATATCCATTTACTGCTACCACCCCTACTCCACTTCGTTGCTCAGGCCAGAAATCTTGGTATTGTCCTCCACTTTCTTCCCCCTTCTGAACTCTGTCTGACTTGATATCCCTCAGTAAATCCTTCTACTTTAATCCATTCTCTTCTCTTATTCTTTACTTCTACTACCCAATCCAGGTTGCCCTGCTCTCTTGGAATAGCAGTATGTTTCCTGGTTTCCCTGCTTCTATTTTCACTCTCCTCTACCATTTTCTATAGATAACCTCAACTTTATAACCCCCTTCTTATTTTAGTCAGCATATAATTCATATCCTTTACATGTTCTATCAGGCTTTACCAGTAACTACTTATCTGAAGCCCCTTTTCCTCTTTATTCATTACATTCTAGTGCCCTCTAAATTCCCAGTTGGCCTCCAGCTCTTTCTCTGAAGTGTTTATACATATCGTTTGGTTTATCTTGAATGTTCTCTTGGCCACTGTTTACTTGGCCTGATTCTAATTAATCTTTAGGACACAGTTTATTGCAATATTTTGGAGGAAAACTTCCCTGACCTATCAATATAAAACATCTCTCTTTTAGGTCCATTCACACTACTCTGGCATTTTCCTGGATATTTCCTTCTACGCTTCCAAAGGTGGATTTTCACATTCAATTATACACAAAAAAATTCAGGTGAAAAGGTGCACATTTTCTTTTAGAGATTTCCATCTTACACTTTGAAGATGGTACCTTCACCTTATTATTAGCTTATCTATTTTAACTAAGAGTGAGGGCTTCTTAGTATTACAGAATGAAATTCTTTCCCCTTTTTGCTATAACTTGGTTAAAATTTTGATCACTGAAAATAATAGATGCTTTTGGGAGTATTATTCAAGGTGACATTTGTGTACTAAAATATTCAGATAAAATTTTCAATCAGGGGACACAGTGAACTTTTTGTCAGGGATTTTATATTAAGTATAATGCTTAAAAACAAAATATTGTTTTGACTTCACAGAGTTATATCACCAAAAGCAAAAGGAAGTAATTACTTTCGTAGCTTTCAGATTGATCTACAGTTAACAGATTTTAATAATAAGAAGAACATCTTTATGTTCAACATCCAGTGGTCAGCCTAATGAGTCTTATTCTTCTGATTTCAACTTTGTGATCATTGTTTTCTCCCTTACTTCTATACGAGAAGAAAGACTATGCCCAATGTAGCAGCCAGAAAATAGGGTATATCTTGAAGCCTGAGTGACCACAGCTCATCAAATCCATAAAATTCAAGTCTCCTGATTTAGTGATAAATTTTATCCTACTTCTTCTACCTCACACTCATGTTTTGGGTCCAGTTTCCTAGAGCATCTGTTTGCACTTCGAATTTGATTGGGTGATCTGTTGTCAACTTCAACTACACAAGATGAAGATCAATTCCCCTCACATTTTTTCCTGACTTTTTCCTACTCGTATAACATCTGACTAACTGGATAAAAAGGTATCATTTTGCTGATAGCTCAGGTGAGGACATAAAGTGATTTTCAGTGTAACTCCCTTTTGATTGTCATATACTTTGACTGTAATATCCTGCTGCTTCTTCATTTAGTTCCCGTATACCTCCAACCTCTGTCATCCTCAGCACTGTCCTGGATGTCATTTCTTCTAGAACAATTTCTGAAATGGTCATTTCACAAAAGATTCTTATAATACTCGTCTCACCCCCGGAGCGTCTGCCCTAGCAATCTACCTTTGTTTCTATTGCCACAGGGGTTCTAGTGCAGGTTATTTTGAACATATCACACCCACTCCTAGCTCCAGGAAGTTTATTTCTGTCTCTCTATTTCACTATAGATGCTTGATCTAGGTCCTTATTCTATACATCAAACCCTTCTACTAAATAAGCATTCCTCTCTTTTTCTTTCTTTTTAAAAGTCCAAACAATTTTCTGAACTTCTTCCCAGGAAGCCTAATGTCATTTTTTCATTCCCATCTTTGATTTTTTTTTTCCTTCTCTTAAAGTAATGTCACATGCCTAGAATTATTTTCCTTTAAAGACTACCAAAGTTTCTGACTTTCTCTCCCTTCCCTTTCCCCTTAAATAGTGTCTAACATGATTTCACTTACTTCAGAACATCTTTCTGGATTGATCATAAAGGAGTTAATAATTTTGCTTACTTTATTATGGGCAAGAACTTTTTATAAGGCTATTTCTCCCATCTTTTCCCATTTATTTATATTTACCATTTATTCTTAAAATGTGTTATACTTTATTTTGATATAATGTACTTTTATTGTTCTCTTTCATATGATGGCCATATATTTTTACTGTCCTTATCCTGTAAATATGTATCAGTAAGACTGTTCAGTTTTAAGCAACTTTAAATTAAGTCTCAAATGAAAAAGGAGTAATTTTTAGAAACAACAACACATCTGGAAAATCAGAACTGGGATACTGGCAGATACCAAGGGACAGGACAGCAGAAGACACAGCTACCATCATAACCCAATACATGTTTGGTCAGAATAATCGGACAGCCACAGGAGGATCTGACAAGTGGACTCTCCCTGACGCCACTGAATTGTTTCTAGACTTTGCCCAAATCTTCACCTTACCACTAAGACTCCTAGTATAAGCACCAATTACCTGAGCATACGTTGTATATAATTGAGTATAACTTAAGTTGCACGGGGTTAAATAGAGATACTATGTGACTCCTTGGCTTTCTGTTTTGGAATTCAAAACATATTTCTCTCAATTTGGAAGAATGTTCAAATATTGGTGGTTAAAAATCCAGACATATATCCATTACAATAGCTTTCTATATTTTTGTCACTATTTTAGATTGTAGCCTAAGGAATAGGAAACACATTTGCATTATTTTTATATGCTGTCATCCTGGTTTCTAGGCATGATTTTATGTTTTTGAACAATGCTAAGAACGTGACTCTTGCTTCAGTACGGATGCCTTCTTTTACAAGTGGTCAGAATCTACATTTCCTCTGTGATTTAGCATTTAACAGTGTTACATGTGCTAAAATAATGAAGTAAGCCTGCCTTTTTAAACATACCATGTGTTTGCTGATTTGAAGCATTTGGCTTCAAATATTTGTCTTACCTTTGGTGTCTGATTAGAAGCTCAAAATGAGATGTGTGAGTTTATGTCTTGTATATTAACTTAATTATCCAGTTTTAATGTGCAATCTGTTAGATTTTATTGGCAGGGTATATCACAACTTCTAATGAGTCACATCGTGTACCAAGTCACACTTTAAAAAGAAAGAAACCACATAATTAAATCAGGTTTTGTCCACTTAAACACATTGGGCTGATTAGACACTTTGGTTTAATTTTCTGGGAAAAGATTGGAAGTTTTAAATTGTATTAGTTATTTACATTGTGCTTTTTATTCATTTAAAGTATAAATCCATTTGGGCTATGGAAAAGGAATTTAGCATGTCTTTGTTTTTCAGCAAAATAAATAAAAGCTTGCATCAGATGGAAATTGAGTGCATATATATGTGTATGTGCACTTCTAAAATATTGGGATTATTGCATCCTCAACTATTTAATTCAAAATGTTGTATGTATATTTACATGGTCATTACATTCTCAAAGGAACCCTAGCCAGAAAGAGATCCAGAATCACACTTTAGTGACTTATTTTATATTTGTTTCTTACTACTTAATAAAGCAAATTTTAACAAAGTATCAAGTCAACCAGTTATTAGAAAATATTCTGTATTTGTATATAAACACATAAAGTACTATATAATATTACTGTATTCATTAATCTTCTTTAAATTTATTTGGTGAAAGATGAAGTAAAAACGGAATCACCATCTTTTTTTTTTTTTTTTAGATTTTTTTTTTTTTTATTCATGAGAGACAGAGCGAGAGAGAAAGACAGAGGGAGAAGCAGGCTCCCAAGGAGCAGGGAGCCTGATGCGGAACTCGATCCCAGGACCCTGAGATCATGACCTGAGCCGAAGGCAGACGCTTAACCATCTGAGCCACCCAGGCGCCCCGGAATCACCATCTTAACACATGTATAAACTAGATATATACATCCAGTAGAAATATC